CTCTTGTTTGCCAATAATAATTTCAATTATTCTTATTCCCATCCTTTTTGTGGAAATTGATCCTTACTAAACCGTAATAAATAATGTATTCAGCATATGAATTCTGTAAAAGATAACAAAGGATTCTTTTACCTTCTTCATTAGAGTTAGCGTTGTCCAAACTTCTTGCGGCAGCCATTTTGTCATTGTTTGCCTGTACTGCGGGCATGGAATGCTGGGTAGAATTGCCTGCTGGAATTAGTTAATATTTACCAGTCATGTGATCTCAAAGTTTACTTACCAAACAATCATAATAACTGTGTTTGTTGGCTAAGCCAATATTATTGTCCGTTCGAGCTCAATTCTCTTAATTTATGTAATGTTGCACATATGAATGATAGGCAAATCATTATGACGTATAGTAAATAATTTAAAAAAATATGCATTTCAATGTGTTGTTCCTTCTAGTTTTGTCAGTGGTTGATACAAAATCTGAAATTTAGTGACAGAAGTAGCACTGACTAATTTTATTCAATCATCCTCTAACAAATTGTATTCTTCTGTCGGACCTCTAGTCAGGCTCTTCTTTTTCACACAAATAGATGCGAAGTAATAGTAGTGGGGTCGTGTGGCGCAACGGTAGGGTTCGCGACTCGGAATCAAGAGGTCCCAGCTTGGAGTCCTGACATGCCACCGATCTTGTGCCCTTTGGAAAGGCACTTTATACGATTTTCCCACTAGACTCAAGTGAAAAATGAGTTACTATGATTTGTTTCTATGTGCGGGACACAACACCAGCAACAGGTGCCTCTGTTCTGCGTGTATTGCACTGTTCCAATTTCAATGAAATAAAAAAATAAAAAACAAATAATAGTATAATGCAAGCTAATCACACATATTATTGCAATGACTGTCATGTTTCCAATATGGTGAATACCCCCCCGTGTTGTACTAGTCTTATATGTACTTGCAGTTTGGTAGTACTTGAGAGTTAGAATTTAGCTGCTTTTAACAAAAGATAAATGACTAATGAACTACCTAAATGAGTAATATAGGGAGCCATTGAACACTGGCGATGTTCCCATTTACTAAACCCATTAAAACAAAATAATGAGGTCCTCTCCTTGGTGCTGAAATGCACTCATGGATGTGAATGCTTATGCAATAATTTAAATTTAGATTGATCAGTCAAGTAGCTTTGTATAGTCATGGAATTGTTCATTTTGAAAATTTATTAACCATGATTTAGAGTGCCTTTAAAGGTGTGTGTGTGTGTGTGTGTGTTTATATGTTCAACATTTTTGCGGCCACTTCTGTCGACTTTCTTTTTCTGCACCTGCCGCTACCGTGAACAAATAGTTCCTGATCAACACCTCCATTTTTCTCCCCACGAACTTTTGCTACGGTGAACTGTGAAAAAAATGATAGTGAATTACAGTTATAGGTTTGGTTACCATCATGTACAGAGGTTTCCAATGTGAATGTTTGTGTGTAATCTTGTGTAGTTGTTATTTCCAAATGCTAGGTATATCAGAGACACTGACAAAAAAAAAGTAAAAAGTCTGTAGCTCAACAGTTTCAGAAAAGGTTACTGTCTTCAGCTTCGAGTTATATGCATGTCTTTTGCTATATGATTTACCCTACACAAATATCTAGGTGCACCTGTCAAAAATTAGGTGCACAGCTATTTTAGACAGTCATGTATGCTAGTGTAAGCCCTGACTTACAGCACTTAAGAGCACTAGTCTAAGAGAGACAAGTTTATACTGCTGGAGAGGTGTATTGAACCCAATCGACTTATAGTTTTTGATTTGATTTATTGAAATTGCAACAATGCAATACACGCGAAACAGAGGCAGCTGTTGCTGGCGTTGTGTCCCGCACATCGAAACGAATACCAAGGACAGACAATACTCATTTTCACTTGAGTCTAGTGAGGAAAGTCATGTAAAGTGCCTTCCCAAGGGCACAAGACCGGTGGCATGTCAGGACTCGAACCCGGGACCTCTTAATTCCGAGTCCCGCACGCTGCCGTTGCGCCCCACGACCCATTACAATGACCCTTGACCCCCAGCACCAGGGCTCTCCCACTCAGCCTTGGGGGTGTACTTAGAGCACGCAGTATTTCAAGCCCTACAATCATACTGTATGTTGTACGTGCCCGTAGATGTGAGCAGACGCTGTCCAACTCCCCGGGAGAGGCCCACGTGCTGGTTGAAGCGGCACGGCTGTTCCTGGAGGCAGAGTGCACCAATCGGACGCTGAAGTGTCCCGGGTTCGAGGAGCATCTCATCACTGCCATGAACTGGTACAACTTTGCCATCAAGGTGAGGACATCCTCACAAATGTCTTCTTTAATTTTGAGGCAGACACCTTCAACTACTACTGGTAAGAATATACATTCATCTATGTGGATTCTATATAAAAGGTACTTTTTGTTGGCTTTTGTGCCTATTTTGAAGTGGTCACTATATGATAGTATATCAGTATATGTTCATTCATGTTATGATAAGATAATCAACTTGATTGGTTGCCTTGCTTTTGTAGAAAGAAATGTAACGTGTTACAGACTGCACAGTAGTTTTATAACTGAGCCATTTGTAATATACATGACTGTGTGTTGTAGGGTTTGAACAAACCAGACCAAGCTATGTCATACTATCAGAGAGCTACGGACCTACATTTTGTACAGTACCAGGTAAGTACATGAATATTGTAGTTTAATGGACTTT